TGACCTCCTGTTTCCTTCTAGTAAAGCTGTTTGATCTTTCTACTCCGCTTCTTGCAAGACACATCTGAGTTCACTGTTTTCTGCTTCCTCTCCTCTCATTCACCACCACGTTCATCACAGTGTGCCCAGGATCCCCGTTACACCACTAAAGCTGCTCCCTCCCATGGTTGCTGAATCTCCCCACCAAATCCAACAGCCACATCTCAGCCCATAGCTAGCTTGACCTCTGGGTAGTGCTGGACATGTGGCCGCTTCCTCCTCCTTGAAATGTTCACTTCCCTGGCTTTTTGCAGTGCTGTGTTATCCTTCTATCTCTCAGGCTCTTTCACAGACCTCTTGATGTATCTTATGAGTGGGCTCAATAATTGTTTACATTATTTTTTTTAATGTTTTTTTTTATTTGGAGAGAGAGGGAGAGCAGGGGAGGGGCAGAGAGAGAGAGAGAGAGAGAGAGAGAGAGAGAGAGAGAGAGAGAAGGAGAGAGACAGAGAAAATCCCCACAGACTCTGTGCTGTCAGTACAGAACCCAACTCCGGGCTTGAACTCCCGAACCATGAGATCATGACCTGGGCCAAAATCAACAGTCGGACGCTTAACTGACTGAGCCACCCAGGCACCCCAATAATTGTTAACATTATTATTATTGTTGCTGTTATTATTATTATCATTATTAAACCCTAATCTTCTTGAACTGTTTCTAATTACTCGAACACTCTTAATTCTAGGCCTTCACTTGTGTGGCTCCCCCTTCCTGCCAGACTCTTCTCCACCTTCTCTTCCCTTCTTTCACTTAGCTTCTGGCTCTTCAACTTCACATCTCAGCTTAGAAGCTTCTCCCTCCTGCACATCTTGCCTTTCCTCCTTAGGTCTGGCTCAGGCATCCCTTCTGGGTACTTTCCTAGCAACCTCTGCTTTCCCTGTCATACCACTCTTCATGTATACCGTAATTACCAAATTATGTTTTCTTGGCTCAAATAGTCTCTCACCGTAAGTTCTGAGGGCTTCGTTGTACCTGTTTTTTATCCCCTCGCAGAATGCCTGGGTCCCATAATGGGTGTGTGCGAATGAGTGAATGGATGGGTGGAGGTGGCATTATTGCTGTGTTGGATTGGGAATTAGTATACCTTATATTTTTAATGCTACATAGTATTACCTGTGTGAACTCTGTCAAGCCCCTCCTCCAAGCTTCTTGCTCTATACAATTGAGAAAAGTTCAGCAATATTCCCAAGGGCACTTTGCAGGTGCTCTCTCTTTTTTAATCTGCACAAAGGCCCAACACAGTTGAGACTTTGATGAAAGGAGATAATGTCTGCATCTTGTCTAGCATGGATGGTTTCCTGAGCAGCGTTCTCTTCACCAATGCCATCGGTGAAGGCAGAAAGGTAATGTTCTTTCTTTATCTGTAACTTGATTCAGGTTGCTCGCAAGCACTTGTTTTTGTTCAATGGAAAATAACACGAAATCTAACATTAACAGCAAACTTTCAGCTTTGCCATTCAAGGTATTTATTTAGTCTCTTCTGATTTAAAAACAACAGGCTCGTCCAAGTAACTCTTCCAAGTCACTTTGAATTTACTCTTTTAATGTTTTTTTTTAATGTTTATTTATTTTTGAGAGAGAGAGAGTGAGGGAGGGGGGGCGTAAGGCAGAGAGAGAGGGAGACACAAAATCCAAAGCAGGCTCTAGGCTCTGAGCTGTCAGCATGGAGCCCAAAGCGGGGCTCGAACTCATGAGCCGTGAGATCATAACCTGAGTTGAAGGTCAGGTGGTTAACTGACTGAGCCACCCAGGCGCCCCTGAATTTACGGTTTTAGATAAATGCAGTGTTTTAGCATTCTCTCCCTGCCCTTTCCTTCCCACGCCCTGCCCACAGTGGAAAAGCAGCCGGAGAAGGCCTTTGGCCTGTGGTCTTTAGGTCCTCCTTGCATCCACTGATAGTGTCCATCCGCTGCTTAGAGACCACCTTGCTGAGCCAGCTCTGCCTTGGCTCTCATGGGCACTGAATCTCCTTGGAGGCTTCCACAGCTCCAAATGGTACTCTACCCCGCCTCTGCCTCTAGCCCCTGCTACAGGTGCCTCTTCCGCAAGCAATGGCAATCTCCTGGCAGGCAGGCAGGCTAGCTCTCAGGTCTGAGTTCCTCAGAGCGTGTGGAAACTTCTGGATTACCTTCATAAGAACTTGGAGGAGACAAGGTATGGAAAAAAGAGCATCCACAAGGGTTTTTATGGGCAGGGATTTTATGACCTGTTTTCTGATGTAAGTGTTTTGTGCATTAGTAGTTTATAAAAGAAATCATTGAATGAGTGATTTTCTAGCCATCTCTCTGCCTAATCATTGCCACATTAGTGTTTCATGCTGTCTTTGATTCTCATTTTATCTTGGATTTCTACTCCCTCTTCAAGGTTTTAAACCCAATGTAGGAATGAGGGTGAGTGGGGCCCTGAGCCAACCTCTCATAGGAGTCTAACCTATGTTACCCCCCTCTTCCTTCCCTGGCACAGGAGCAATTTTATTTACATCCTCCCTGATGGAAAACAACCTTACATCATATTCTGCTTTCTCCATACTCCTTGTCTTAGAGGACCATATGTCTTGTCTTAAGGTGACCGTATGTCCTGGTTTTTGCCTGTGGTGGTCATGGTTTATGCCCATTGTCTCTGTGTAATTAATAGGCATGCCCCTCTTCGCTCTCAAAAATGTCCTGGCTTAGATGGTAAATTTCATGGCTACTCTGCTTTTGATAAACACGTGAAACTCAGGCCTCCAAACTTAGATTTCTTTTTGATTTAAAGCTTGGCTTTGGGAATTGCATCAAAACCCTTTTCTACCCTAATTTCCTGCCCCTTGCAAGTAAAGGCTTGGTTTTTATGACTGTTGTTCTAATGAGGGAATTATAACATCTATTTTTTTTTTCAACGTTTATTTATTTTTGCGACAGAGAGAGACAGAGCATGAGCGGGGGAGGGGCAGAGAGAGAGGGAGACACAGAATCCAAAACAGGCTCCAGGCTCTGAGCCATCAGCCCAGAGCCTGACGCGGGGCTTGAACTCACGGACCGCGAGATCGTGACCTGGCTGAAGTCGGACGCTTAACCGACTGCGCCACCCAGGCGCCCCACATCTATTTTTTTTAATGTATGTTTATTTATTTTTGAGAGAGAGAGAGAACACAAGTGGGAGAGGGGCAGAGAGAGAGGGAGATACAGAATCTGAGGCCTGGGAAGGCTCCAGGCTCTGAGCTGTTAGCACAGAGCCTGATGCAGGGCTCAAACTCATGAACCTGGAGGTTATGGCCCGAGCTGAAATCAGGTGCTCATCTGATGGAGCCACCCAGGTGCCCCATAACATCTATTTTAAAGACAATGATACCCAATAACTTTAATTAGGAGAAATGAAAATGTTTCACAAAAGAAAAAACAAACATTTAAATATGGCAACAGCATGGCGCCACCAATCCATGATCCTGGGCAACACATTGCCCTGGTGCACATTGGTGGGCCTCAGATACTCAGGTGATTCCATCCCTTAGAATTAAGAACTGTTAGCATATTGTCCTTTGACAAATTTTAGAAAAGAAAGAAAACATTGTAGCCAGAGTCTTTTTTTTTTCTTTTGATTAGAGAGAGAGAGTGGGAGAGGGGCAGAGGGAGAGAGAGTGAGAATCCCAAGCAGGCTCCACACCCAGTGCAAAGTCTGACTCGGGGCTCGATCTCGCAATGGTAAGATCATGACCTGAGCTGAAATCAAGAGTCAGACGCTTAACCAACTGAGCCACCCAGGTGCCCTCAGAGTAATTTTTAACCAATGCAGTCACTTTATTCTAGGCTATGTCTGCCCATCCCCTGAGGACAGTTTGTAGAAAGCTGTAGCTCTTCTTTGAATAGTGAAGAGTATGTTGAGGGTTAAGATAATTCATAAAATATATTTTAATATAGAAACATTAGCTGAGTATATAGGCAATCAATGAATGTTGTTTTCCAAATCTATGTGGTAACCCTGCTCATCTTATTCTGATTAGAATCAGAGCACGTTGCTCTGTTTTGGCAACATGCATGACATTGATTTTATTTTATCTATATTTTTAAATGTTTTTATTTATTTTTGAGACAGAGACAGAGTATGAGCAGGGGAGGGGCAGAGAGACAGGGAGACACAGAATCTGAAGCAGGCTCCAGGCTCTGAGCTGTCAGCACAGAGCCCAACGTGGGGCTCGAACTCACGGACTGTGAGATCATGACCTGAGCCGAAGTCGGACACTCAACCGACTGAGCCACCCAGGCGCCCCGCATGACATTGATTTTAAAAAATGAAAAGGTGTGTTCATCATTAAGTCATTGGGAGAAAATTATAGTTAATCTTAATTAAAACACGTAATTTGGTAAGCAGGATCTTTTAAAATAAAGTATCCATGGGATGAACCATTAAAACATGGGGCCTCAAAAGGTTTTAAAAGAGGCTGGGAATCTTTTGCAGGCAATAGAATGGCTTCAGCGACTGAATTTCAGTAGGGTGTTTACTTTCAGAAGTTCTTCTGGTAGTAGTGAAGGATTTGCCCTGAGGCATTCACACCCTCCGGTAGTTTGTCTTGTAAAAGATTGTTTTTTTAGGGTGGTTGACTTGGATTAGGGTTCAGAATGCATTACGAATATCACTTTGGCCTCATTAGACTCAGGGGACAGCTGACTCTGCATTAGGGGACAGAGAGTGACCACTGAGGGCTGATGAGCAGTGACCAGGGTTTCCCACAGTCATTATTACTGTGGCTTCCTAAACATTTCTCCCTAATATCACTCTGATCCTTGAGTAGGAAGCAGAGCCTGCCTCCGGGGATACCGGTGTGTTTAAGAGGTAGAGTCTCCAAGAGGATGTGGAGGAGCAGTGGGGGTTGGACAATCAGGGCCAGTCTCACATTATTACTACCTTTCTCTCTTTCATCTACAGTCCGTGAGCTTATGCCTCTTCCTATCTCTCTTCCTTTTCACCTTCCCCACACCCACAGATGGGGTGGCCGCCTTCCGCGCCTTTTTGAAGACCGAGTTCAGCGAGGAGAACCTAGAATTCTGGCTGGCCTGTGAGGAGTTCAAGAAGACCAGATCAACTGCAAAACTGGTCTCCAAGGCCCATAGGATCTTTGAGGAGTTTGTGGATGTGCAGGCTCCGAGGGAGGTGTGTTGGCGGTGGCGAGAGTCTTGTAAGACCTCTATCCATGGCTCCTGGCTCACATCTCTCTCTTGGTGGGGGTTTGAGCCAGTCTTGTTGGGGACTGTCTTCTGAACTGAGCCTTGCTGCTCTGATGGCTCTTAATGAAAAGAGGATCACTTCTAAAATGCACAGCCCAGGGCTTCTAAAGAGGGGCTCTGTTAGGAGTGCTTTAGTTGTCTTTCGAACATGTGCCTGCAAGACCTGTGTTTCTATAGGGATTCTGTAAGGATAGATGCCATTGAATCCATGTTAGTTTTCCTAGTGGAAGGCAGCACAGGTTAATGGGATGAGCATCCACTTTGGAATCTTATTCCAGTCTCAGCTCTACCAGTTAGAAGCTGTGTGGTCTTATCTGACTTATCTAGTCTCTCTGACTCCCATTTGCCCCAAAGTGAAAGTATACCTTTCAAGACTACTCTGAGTATTAGGGATAAAGCACCTCGTCAACATCTGTCACTGCCTATTAATGAGTCATTACAGTCATTTATATTATTTTATAATAAGTTATTATCATTTATAGTAATAAAATGAATCTCTATATATGGCTGTGCTGAGTTATAAAACAGAATTTGGGAGGATTTTATAGAAGCAAAATGTTTGCTGTCTACGAGTTTTGGTGTGCTATATACCTAGGACTCTTCAATTATTCTTTGACTTGGGAGGTGGGAGGTCTTTGCCCAGGGCCAAGGATGCTGTAGACCCTTTAAAATGCTGCTTAGAACAGAGATGTTCATTCTAACCATAATCTCTCCTCCTGGGGCATTTGTTTCTTTAGTGGTTAAGAACAAACAAGAGGGCAAGCTTCCTTTAGGGAATCCACATTAATACTTACCTTCAGTCTCACTCTTTGCTTGACATCATGAAGACCCCTGGATTAGGAGTTAAGTGATTTGGGATTTTGCCTTGGCTCTGTTACTAACTTTCCATACTGCTTTAGAGCAGCCTTTTAGTATCTCTTTTCTTCAGTGTCCTTATCTGTAAATTGAGACAAAGAATGTCTGGTCTTCAGACCTCACAGGATTCTTGCTGGGATTAAAAGGGATAACCTCCATGAAAACAGTTTGAAAAGCATGACTAAGCTTACATATATATAAGATACTGTCATTAGTAATTATTACATAGCTAGGAGCAGTTGCCAGGCACCTTGGCCCTTGAGGGCCTGTGACCATGCTCTCTGTTTGTGTCTCCAGGTAAACATAGACTTCCAGACCCGAGAAGCCACGAGGAAGAACATGCAAGAGCCATCCCTGACTTGCTTTGACCAAGCGCAGGGAAAAGTACACAGCCTCATGGAGAAAGACTCTTATCCCAGGTTCCTGAGGTCCAAAATGTACTTAGATTTGCTGTCCCAAAGCCAGAGGAGGCTCAGTTAGACCTCAGATGGGGACTCTTGGAGATCACTGGCTTCCCCCCTCCCCTTGCTGCCAAGACCATATTCTAATGTGAAATGTCATAGGTGTTCAAAAAGCAATGGCGTTTAGTTTGGGAGCCTGGGGGATGAGGAGTGGATGAAGGGCCATTCCAAAGTAAGATCCAGTCACCAGAGCTCGGACTCTATTCCATTAACCCATGTTTGTGTTTTGGTTAGCGGTAGCACCTTGCTGCTGTTACCCTCCTTCTGGGTCAGCAACTTGCCCTTCACAATGCCTTGGGTCATTTCCGCTGAGAAGGCAGATTTGCTATGCTGGGCTAATGTGTAAATAATGCAAATGCAATTCTCACCACTTCCACACCCTCCTAAGTTAGGATTCCTGGCTCTAACTTGTACTATACCCCTGTGAGGAATAGCTAGAAGACTCTGGCTCACCTAGGTGATTTGCTGTCACAATGTAGTGGCCAGTGCTAGTGTAGGAGAGAGGTTTGTGGGGAATCCCAGGTTTCTAACGCTGTCATTGACAGGTGGCCTCTGGGAGAAGGGGCAAACTTCATGGAGCTGGCTATTTCTTCCATTTCCACTAGACCAGTGTGAAAAACTGTCATCACTGCCCATCTTAGCCTAGGAAATTCACAAGACATTTTTACCCTCACAATTCCATGAAGGGTCTTGGGAGATCTCTTATATGATTTCTGATGTGGCGTCTGCTTTTAAGAAAGATACAGCTTGCAGATCTTCCTCGATTCTACCAAGAAGTATTCCAGAAGTCGAATGACCAGGGAACATAGCTCCAGTAGACTTTTGTGCAATGGGGCGCCATATAACCTCTCTGTTGCTTAATGTATTCTCCGCCGTCACCTCCCTGTGGCATCACACATCACTGATCTCTTAGAATGACAGACAGCTTGGCAAAGGGAGGTGAATTCCCATAGCATGGACAGCTTTCATGGTGCCTAATACTTTCCTTGTCTCTCCCTGTCCCCCCTTCCATGCAGGTCATGTAATTATGATGGGGGAGAATGGGAACTTAGGCTGTAACTCTTCAGCTTGCTTCCTGGGAGCATGCTTTCTTAGAAAGGTCTCTCTCATGAGGGCCATCTTGGCTATTCAGCAACTTCCTTCTTGATCTCTGACCTTTTGGGATTGAACATGGAACAGGAGGTGAGGCTAAGATCACTGTGAACATCTGGCTGTGGAGAATCTTCCTAAAATGCTTTCATGGTACCCTGAGGCTCCTTTTGGAAATGTGTCAGGATACTCTTCCTTGGAGGGTGAGCGTAAAGCACCCTAGCTTCCTGAGAAAAAAGTGGACTTCGGCACAAATTTGCAGTGCCAGGGATATGAATCCTCAGCAGAGAGACCGGAAAGTGGAAGAGGAGTCTGGAAGAGGCTGGTCTCCAGGTGGACCAAATCGTAGAGAATATGGTGGAGTTACTATTGGGATAATTCACAGCCGGTGGATTTGGAGTCATTGCAGATCTCCACAACTTTCAGCTTGACTAAATGAAATAGCTGCGATTAGGCGTAAGCTCTGGAGTGCAGGCGATTGAGAACTGGGCTGAAGCGTTCTCCTTTTGTGGGGTGATGGGCCCTTTAGGTACACAGGATTCTGGTGTTTGCATTCCTGTCCAGTAACTTTGTGAATTTCTTCCTTCCTTGGCTGCAGCTAGACAAGTTCAAGAAGGCTCTTGAGTCCCACTGGTGTTAGGGTCCATTGCTCCGCCATGACACGTTGTATCTGTAAGTGAGGGCTGGTGAGTCTGTCTGAACCATCAAGGAGAGAACACATACCTCTTAGCCCTCACACCGAAGCACTCTGTAAAATCTCATGTTCAAGAACTCCAATGCATCAAATAGGTGTTGTTAGATCAGGTAGTGTTCCCCTGCCCCCACTGGTAAAAAACCATTCTTAGCTAAAGCTGCCAGAATTAATTTAATGATCAAATTCTTGAACAGGGTATTTTAAACATTGTTTACATATGAAATGTACATATTGTCGAATGTCAACTCTACTGTCGAATATGAGGTGCATGTAAATTGGAACCGCACAGAGTTATGGAAAAATGAAATGTTTCAGAGGGGCCTTTTTACCACTTCCACTATCCCCAGGAGAAGTCTGAACAAGACTGTTGTGCAGTGGCCTCACTTGAGGCCTAGAGTTCTTGCCAACCATTGGTGGAATGAAGGCTGCAGATGGTGGTGTCATGGCGCCCAGTGACTTCCTCCCACGATGGGGAGGCGTGAAGGACCAAGCTTGGGTATCCTGAATTTTGCCGCTACGTGAGCGTATGTGGGCATGTGTCTGTGTGTAGAGGAATGTGATGGCTATATTTATGGTACTCCCGTGGAGTGTCTGCGTGCATGTGTGTGTGTGTGAGACCATTGTGAGCATGAGTCCAGGACACCACAGAGACCATCTTCCCATGGGGTAGAGCTGTCCTCACACCCTTTCTGTCCTGCTTCCCACAAAAGGCACAAAGCTCTCTGCTCTGATGCCTATGTTCAGGCACTTAGGTCATGCCAACCCAGATTTTGGTCTGTGACGAAACAAAGAGAAATGTTTACAACATCTAGAGCAATATCAAAGCATACCTCATCCATGACCGTCCATGTCTCCCGGTCCTGCCCTCTTGCCTGTCTCCTCTTCCACAAGCCCTCATCTGCCTCACTAGGTGGGCCTCTGCAGGTGCCACTTCTTCCATTTAAGGTCTTCCTTTTGTCCTCGTGCCAGGCTTGTGCTGTGGACTGCCTTCTGGGCTTGAGGCTTGCTCTGGGCCTGGGACCTCTGAAGACCCAGGGCAAGCCAGGGCAGGAGCCCAGGCAGAGCTGTGATCTTTAGGACTGCTCTCCACCCCCAAGTGGCTTTTGGCCCCACTTGCGCGTCAACCTGTTTTTAGGCTAGGTGTAAGATTTCCCATTGCCTTTGGCAAACCAAATAGACCATAATCAGTAACAACCATTCATAGCCCCGAGGCACCTTTGGGGTGAGGAAGGATCCTCTGAGCATGCCCAGGCTCACCCAGAAAGCCTGTTACAAGTGCTCATTCCCAGGTTGCACACCCAGAGATGCTGATCCAAAAGACCTGGGTTTTCAGACCCAGAAAACTGCATTTTTAGTAAGTCCCCATAGACCATGCTTTGAAAAAAGATGTTCTAAGACAGTGGCTCCCACCATTGGCTGCTCATTGGAATCACCTGTAGAGTTTTGAAATCTAAATGTCCAGGTCCCACCCCAGAACAGCTTGGGGCCACGACCCAAGACATCAGCAGTTTTCAGAGCTCCCCAGGTGATTCTACGTGCAGGTGAGGTGAGGAAGCACTGGCCTGAGGAGTGAGGATGTGCAGGGCTGAGCTTATGCAAACGTGTGGCCAAGAGGGCTGGAGCAAGCCAAGATGCAATCAGGCACAACACCCGGAACCCACCAGCCCTGAGCTTGATTCGGGGAGGCTGCCTCTGTGCTGTCTCAGTCTGATTCGCCCCTTTGAGATCAAAACGTTCCAGCTGCATGCAGTGTTCGGCAGCGGGTGTGCCGATGGCGGGGAGCTCTGGAGGGTATTTGATTAAGAGAGGTTTTCCCACTCATCCTGAGCTTCATTCGCAGTGCTTCCTCCAAGCTTGCCTCCTGGGCTGCTCCCTCGTCTGTTTGCTCTCATGTACTCTGTGTTTGGCCGTCTGCGTTTGGTTGTGCCTCTGTATCCAAGGCCATGGGATGACGTGGTAGTTGAAACTCAGGTAGCAGGGGAAAGGGTGTGTCAGGGTAATAATAGCGGAAGCACGACAACTTCCAGGTTTGTCATCAGAGGGTCACCCACCCCAGGAATATGCTCTTTGGAGCTTTCTTTTCCAAGGCCACAGTGGGGCTTCCGTGCCTGCTGTTAGCCCTCACGATCGCCTCTTTGGTCTCAGGCTGGGTGGGCAGATGAAAGTTCCTAGTTGATTTTATTCTCTGGTGCTCCCCCTCCCCGCCCGCCCCAGAACTTGCTGCTCTGAATAAACCAAAGCTGTGAAATGGTGTTTTGCCCCGGGCGGGCGGCAGGCCCAGCCTCCGGGAGCCGGGCGGGGTGTGCACGTGCCCCGGGGCCCTGGACTGTGAGGGAAAGACACGAATCCATTGTGTTGAGAGCTGGGGGAGGTGGGGGGGAAGAGACTGAAGAGGAAGGAACAAGGTGGGAAAGACGAATGGCTGCGGTGCCGGCTGCCTCTCCATGAAGCAGAAGGGAGAGGTGAAAGTGGCACAGGCAGAGGCAGAGATGGTCCCCATCGACACGAGCACCCGGAACCATCCTGACCCTGTCGGTGCCCACTTCCACGCAAAGCAGAGGAATCTGATTTTCCACCTGACACTGTCCTTCAGTGCGCCGAGCGTCAGCCCTCATTAAATATGCGTCTCTCCGGGTCAGAAGCGGGAGAGGTGGCAAAAGTCACCCCTGCCTTTGAGAACCTGTGCCACTTGGCCTGAGATCGTGGAGGAAGAAGCCAAGAGCAGAAATGTCTTCCTGTCCCTGTGGCCTCTCGGGACCGCCCAGGGATGCCGTGGACCAAGATGGGAGGCTGCGGGACGGGGCCACTGGCCTTCCCAGGGTTGGGGGCCAGGCCCGCTCGAGAAACTGCTCCCTTGTGGATCGTTACTCCCTTTGGACCCTTCGGCCGCCTTCCGTGTGCCGTGTGCGGGGAAAGGTGGCCGGCAGCTTGCGCTCCAGCCGCGGGAGCCCTAGCTGAGTCACGCGGCGTGCACCACAGATCTGTAGCTGCCCAGCTGCCATGTAAACCGCTTGGCTGACGGAGTCCTCATTGAGTTGTCTCATTACTGTGCAAAGTGGGATAATGTCATTCACCTTTACTATAAACAAGGCTGTGAGAACATAATAAACACACCCTGAACACGCTGCCCTTCGCTCTCTGCCCACGTTTCTGGCCAGCTGACTCTTTATGAGGAGACGCTTCGCACAACACACGGGCTCCCCCAGGGGGGCGCGTGGCCTCCCCAGGCAGGGGCTGGCACGGGGCGGCCATCAGGAAAAGCAGCCGTGTGGGTGGGGAGTGGTTTGGGACGGTGTGGGGGGTGGAGGGTGACTTTAGGTGACGAGGGTGGCTTCGGAACCGTAAAGTGCTACACAAATACGAGGTTTTTATTAGCACCACCTACCGCTTGAAATGCAGGGAGAGACAAGGCTGAGGGATGGTGTATGTATTTGTTCAGCTGGAGCAATCTGAAAATGGAGGGGGTTGATTTTGCTCATGACTGCGGCGCACTTCATACGGTCGGCGTGTCCCTGAAAAGTGTGCTTTAGTCATCAAGCACACTGGTCTCTGGTGATCGGGTCCGTGGAGGGGACCAAAGGAGAAGAGGGTGCAGTGTCTGCTTGTAAAAGCTCATTTTGCAGGTGTGGGGAAAAGCTAGAGATACACGAAATGTTAATAATCCAGATCATTAAAATGCACCAGAGAAGGTCTGTCTAAAGGAAAGCGGGTGTTTCTTCACAGGTGGAATGCTTTGGGTTAACTGAAAAAGCCTTTTGTCATGCAAACCATCACTCCCAAAATCCAGTGTTGAGGACTGGGCTTTGAGGGGTAGCAGCCTGGGCAGGACAGGGACCTGCTGCTGGGGAGGGTGTGTGATTGGTTCCTCTCTTTCCAGCTATGCCCCTTACCCTTATTGCCACTTGGGTTTCTGACCCTTCCAGAACTGAGAAGGGCAGGGAAAGAAGAGAGGGAAGGGGGGGGGGGGGCGGGGGGTGCTCTTGGGGCCTTGGAAAACTCTGGTGGGTCCTTCTTGGGTTCCTTGGAGACCCTGCCTCTGAGGAGTCTTTCCCTCTTACCTCCAGCTCCCCTAAACAGGCTGAATGCTTTCCTACTCTGGCTGGTGCTTGCTCCTTCTTGGGAAGTGTCCTAGCTTCTCTCTGCTGCACTCTGTTTGTTCCTCCAGGCTACCCTTTGGGACAGCTCCTTGGATGACCCCATGCCAGTCTTCGTCTCAGAGACCCACAGCTGGCCGACTAGAAGCATTTGGGGCGTACTTGACCCTAGAATCACAAGGCTTCTTGATCTGGCTCTGCAGCCAGAGCCCCCTGCCAGCCCCCAGCTCATGTTTTGATTTTCTAGGCTGGGATTAGGTTTCCAAGCCTCAGGGGCACATGTCAGGCTCTCCCAGGAACCCTGTGTACCCACACTCCCTGGGGGTGAGGTGAGAGGCAGGCACTTAGCCCTTTGGGAGGGAGGCTGGACTCATAGTACACTAAAAGCTCCAAAAACCTTCACAAATTCTCTCTGGCCCTGACCTTTTTCTCTGGTGGGACAGCTTTGGAGTGCCCCTCACTGGTCCTCTGCTCCCTCCCTGCAGTGTTTGCTGGGTCTGGAACCCTTTGGATCTGAGATCTATCTCCTAGGCCTTGACAGAGCCTCTTTCAGATGGAAAACACTTAACACTATGCTGAGCATCTCATTACCACGCAGTAAATGTGGGGAAAACAAGCAAAATCCCTTCTGTCCTATTGTCTACACCAAGCAAGTGGCCAGAGGAAAACAAGAGAAGTCATTGATATAACTCCCTCCTGTGGATGCATTTCTTAGTTGAGGTCTGTTCTTGTCCCCTGTCCAGGAGGTAGGGGACAAAGCCATTTCGAAAGCTAGAAGGAAAGTGTGGGGACCTGTCATGGGTGCTGCCTCCCCTGCCCATGACTGGTTCTATAGCACAGAGGGGACACCAATCCCCCCACCGCACGTCACAGTGGCTGTGTGCCCAGCCATGAAAACAAAGCCGCGAGCCTGAGAGAACCATCTTTGACTGGAGTTCCGTCAGCACACTCTTCCAGATAATTGGGGCTCTGATGCTAGACAGTCTGAGTTTGAATCTCAGCTGTGAACTCTGCTTACAAGTTGTGTGGGCCTAGGAAAGTTATTTCCCTGTGCTTCAGTTTTCTCATCTGTAGAACTAAAATAAAAACAGAGCCAACTGCTTGGGGCTGTTGTGAACACAGTGTACGTTAACACGGAAGCCTGTTTATCCCAATGCCGAGGACATAGCAGGCACACAGTGGGTACCAGCTGGTGCCTTCTCTCCCACGGATCACCAGGACTCCAGCCAGCACCTCCATTCCAAGTCCGCTTGGCTTCTTGATTGAAGGCAAAAGGTGTTACGTGATCAGTGTCTCCCCCTTTCCCACTAAACCATAAACTTCCTGAAGACTGTCTGCCTTGTTCCCTACTCCAGTCCCTGGATAATTATTGAAACAATATTATTTCTACAAATGTTTTTGAGCAGCCCTTCTAGATTAGGCACTTCTAAGGTAGGCTGGATGTGGAGGTCAGAAATCTACTACCTGGGCCCTCAGAGAACTTACTTAACTCTCACCGGAACTTAGCCCTTCACAAGCATTGGCACAAGGCTTACCAAATGAGGGGTTTAGAAAGTGAGTGGCTGTAGATTCAAAAGCGGCCACATAATAGAAGACACTTTAGGAGCCAGGAGCTTTGTAGAGCAATTTAGATGCTCCGTCTCGTTGAATCCCCACCACAATGCTATGCGGTAGGGTGTTGATTTGCTAGGCTTCTGTCACAAAATACCACAGACTGAGTAGCTTAAACAACAGACATGGATTTCCTCACAGTTCTACAGGCTGGAAATCCAAGATCAAGGTGCAGGCACGATTAATTTCTTCTGAAGCCTCTCTCCTTGGCTGTAGAAGGCCACCTTCTTGCCATCTTTCCTCTGTGACCATGCCCCTTGGGTCTCTTCCTCTTCTTGTGAAAACACCTGTCGGGTTGGATAAGGGCTTACCCCAACAGCCTCATTTTAATTTAATCACCTCTCTGAAGGCCTATCTCCAAATTCAGTCATATTCTGAAGTACTTGGGATTAAGGCATCAGCATATGAATTTGCTGGCGGTGGGGGGGTGGGGGGGGGGGGGGAGTGGGACATGACACAGTTCAGCCCATAGCAGGTAGATACCATTTTGGGTTCTTATCCCCGCATACAGATGAGGAAACTGAGGCACAGAGAGCTTAACATACCCAAGGTCATGCAACCTGCAGGTGACAGAATTGGATTTAGAACCCCAGCCCTGTAAACCCACAGCTGGTGTTTTTAACCCCTGCTTTGCTGTAGACTAGAAGGGAATGCATGGGTGGGGTGAGGTGCGTGGGTGCAGGGGAGGGGAGGGGGTGCTGGAGCTGAGCTGCCCCTGGGGTGGGAAGGATGCATGTATACTCCAACACAGGCCGAGGCGGAGGTGAAGGTTGGGGTGGGAATGGGGGTCAGTTCCTTATCTTTTACTTGCTCAAAAATCTGGGCTCCCGGAGATGTTGAAGGCCTGATGGAAAATGCTGGTGGCTGACGCATGCACTGCAGAGCCGGCTGGAAATTGGATTCGCCGATTATCTGCCCAAGCTTTTCCCCAGCTGTGCTCTCAGGTGCCCTTGTGCCAGTTTGTTTGGTTTCTGTCCTGCTCTTTGTGCTCTGTCTCCTTTAGGATGATGGGTCTGCTACCGTCTCCTCCAAGCCGGTGGTTCTCCCGGGGCAGGCTGAGTCATAGCCCTGCCCACAACCCCAGACGTGCTGGGTCTCTGTCTCCTGCGTCTGCCGTGGGACAGGCTCTGGGCATGCCCTTCCCACGGAGGGAGAAACAGCCCCATCTCCTCAGGCATTAAGATTAGTCTTGCAGGTGCCAAAAGGGACAGGGGCTCTCCTCTTACACACATGGCAGGTGAGAACATGGAGATTCGGATGCCTGAGATTGAATCCTGAAACCTTTGCTTTTTAGGGTGTGTGACCGTGGGAAAGGAACTTTGCCTCTTCTAGCCTCTGTTTTCTTGTTAGCAAAAGGGGGATAGTAGTACCCACATTTCCAGGCAGGGTGGCTGTGAGGATTGGAGATGAGATGGGCAAAGCACTGGGCAGGAGCTGGCATGTGTAGGCAACGCCAAAATAGTACCCACAGGTATCGGAGATTTCGACCCTGGTTTGCTACCATCCCAGAACCGATCATGGGGCTGTGGGCAGTAGAAAGTCCAGGGCGGTAGGTTGAATGTAAGCTGTATTGACAAATGGGATGTCTGACACTGGAAGCAGAACAAGGTGCCTTTCATTCTGGAGGGTGCTCTGCCCCAGCCAGGGTATTAGGTCCCCGCCTTAGATGCCCTACGACCTAAATTAGCAGGGATCACTCACTTGTCATGCAGGCTTTCCAGTGAGACACACAGAATGCAAACAAATGACCCGAACTTTGAATTGACCGAGCTAAAAACAAGATCCTGTGAGTTGCAAAACCAAATTATCTGATGGAGCGCTTTTGGTATGCCCTGCCCCACTTTATGCGGGGGGCCAGAATGCTACTCCTGACTTGTAGCCTTTGGAGACATGTGAGAAACGTCACTGATGTGCATGTCCTCACTCAAGGTCCCAGTGGCTCCGGAACCCACCTCGAGTGCAGAATAGCTGTGTATATGTTTGCTGGGAGGTTAAGGAAAATTATTTTAATCTTATGTCTTAAAAATGAAATTGTCCGGGCACCTGGGTGGCTCAGTTGGTTAAACGTCCGACTCTTGGTCTTGGCTCAGGTCGTGACCTCACAGTCTGCGAGATGGAGCCTCACGTAGGGCTCTGCGCTGATAGCGTGGAGCCTGCGGGGGTGGGGGGGGGATGGGGGGTGGGGGGGTGGTCCTCTTTCTCTCCCTCTCTCTCTGCCCCTCCCCCACTTGCACTCTCTATCTCTCTCACTCTCAAAATAAATTAAAAAAAAACAACAACACACAAACCTTAAATAAAATGAAATTGTCGAGGTTTTCCAGTCAGTGCTTTCCCAGGTCAGCTGTCACCAATAGCGAGGATGCTTTGAATCCACAGCTCCGCAGGGCTTAGGTTGGCAACGTCTGCCAGGAAATGGCAAGGA